CCTCCAGCAATGCCCAACCTTGGTTTTACCATTTGCCTCACCACCACCTACTGTTCCCTTGGGAGTCGCTCTCTCGAGGGTCATCTTTATTTTAACCCCCCCGGGCCAGTGCTCCTCTGAGTGTTGGTCCGACCGAGCAGACTGCGGGGCCACCTCGGGGCAACTTGAGGTTTGGTTTTACTCGTAGGATGTCTCATCTGAGTGTGCCCTGAGAACGAGATATGTGCAGCTCCTATCGGGATTTGTCGGCACATTCGTGCGGTGTTGCTGGTTTAGTTTTACCCTGTTGAAATGTCTTGTTATACCGGGATACCAAGTCTGATCGGAATGTCTCAGGAGGAGGTCTATTCCTTCGTTGACCGTGAGAGCTTGTGATGGGCTAAGTTGGGACACCCCTGCAGGGATTTGAACTTTCGAAAGCCGTGCCCGCGGTTATGGGCAGATGGGAATTTGTTAATGTCCGGTTGTAGAAAACCTGAAGTTGACCTTAATTAAAATGAATCAACCGCGTGTGTAACCGTGATGGTCTCTTTCCGGCGGGGTCCGGGAAGTGAACACGGTTGTTGGAGTTATGCTTGGCGTAGGTTGCTATAGGATCACTTCTTGATCATACTTTTATCGACCGTGCTTTGCCTTCTTTTCTCGCTCTCATTTGCGTATGTTAGCCACCATATATGCTAGTCGCTTGCTGCAGCTCCACCTCATACCTTTTACCTTACCCATAAGCTTAAATAGTCTTGATCGCGAGGGTGCAAGATTGCTGAGTCCCCGTGGCTCACTTCCAAAACCAGTTTGCAGGTGCCGATGATTCCGTGCAGATGACGCAACCAAGCTCCAGGAGGAGCTCGATGAAGATCTTGTCCTTTGTGTTGTTTCTTTCTAGTTGATCAGTAGTGGAGCCCAGTTGGGGTCGATCGGGGACCTTTGTCGCATTTGGGGTTCTTCTTTTATTTTGGTTCCGTAGTCGGACCTTGTTTGTATTTTGTTTGTTGTAATGCTTTATTCTTGTAATTGTGTGAAGTGGCGATTGTAAGCCAAATATGTATCTCTTTCCCTTATGTATTACATGGGTTGTGTGAAGATTACCTCACTTGCGACATTGCTTTCAATGCGGTTATGCCTCTAAGTCGTGCTTCGACACGTGGGAGATATAGCCACATCGAGGGCGTTACAGTTCCTTCGGAGAGAGAGGAGGAACAAGGTAATTTCTCAAAAAGCAGGTGTATCCCCCTCTCCTATGCATCAAGTACAATTTATTAATTCCGTTGAGTTTGTGCACTTGTTTTTGATATATGGCAATATGTCTTCTCTATCAATTGCTCAAAAAACTACATGGAGCTAATGTTTTGACTAAACAAGTGGAGATAAAGACTATTGCAAGCGAATTTATTCGGTCTTGCATGCTCTTCTGTCTTCTCCCCTTCCATAACCCGGAACACCTTTGCAAGGATGGTTGATGAGCATGACAATCTTTAAAGAGGGATTTCAAGATCTAGTTGGGGTGGACGGACAACAACACTCATGCATATGGTGAACACCCGAGTTGCATGACGAAAACCTTCGAGATGGTGTGAGCTTGACCGGTAAGACAATGCGGCTCATAGGCACCCCCTTGTTCCAAGTAGTGAAAATCTCTTGATCATGATGGCTTTTCCCCCCCCTTTACTTTACTCATTTGTATCTTCAGAGAGATAAGGGAAACAAGATGATTTCTCAAAAAGCAGGTGTAACCCCTTGCCCCCTTCATCATCAAGTGATGCACACAACAATTTATTAATTTTCTTGAGTTTGTGCATTTGTTTTATAAAGTTGGCAGTATGCCGCCTCTATTAATTGGCTCCAAAAGTGACACGGAACTCAACTATTGAACTAAACAAGTGGAGATAAACGGGTACTGCTTCCAAGTCCCGGACCACATTTGCAAGGATTATTGATGAGTGTGACGATCTTTAAAGAGGGATTTTCAAGATGTAGTTGGCGTGGACAATCAACAACATTCATGCATATGGCGAACTGATACGTCTCAAAAGTATTTATATTTTTTGATTATTTTATGTTATTATAATACTTTGGAATAGTTTTTATAATTTTTTTTCTGGACTAAGCTATTAATTCAGTGTTTAGAGCGAGTTGTTTTCTGCATGTTTTTAACTTTTTAGAAAATTCATATCTGCGGAGCTCCAAAACCCTGGAGATTTTTTATAATTTTCCAAGTCCATACGTTCCAGAAAGTGCCAGGGGTCACCCCTGGCCTCCACGCGGCCAGTTGGTGTGGCCAGGGACCCACCCGTCTGGGGTGGTCGCGTGGGCCCCGCCTTATGTCGCTTCTTTTGCCTAAAAAAATCCATATTTTAAGAGACCTTCAGTACCATTTTTCGCAAAAATTTTCGTCGCTGCAAGTTCGTGCTCCGGTTTTGAAAATTATGTGAAAAGCCCCTCCAGAAGTCCCTTAATTATGTGCAGGTCCAAGGGATCCACAGGTGACCACTAGATCAAGATCCGACCGTGGAGCTCACACGGGAGCGCCTGAGCTTAGATGCTCATGGAACAACGAACATTCTCCCGCCCCCTCCCCTTTTTTTACTTTACTCCTTCGTGTCTTCAGAGAGAGGAGAAAATTTTGTATGAGTGTGGTTTTTACAAGAACAAGCATCTTAGTCGATTTGTATTTCCCACAGTCAAACTTTTTAATCTTTAGATAATACTTTGTCGGCTCCATAATGTAGTACCTATAGATTTTTTGAATAATCAAAATTTCCAAACTTTAACCAATTCATAGAGAAAACTATTTATATCAACAATACAAAATATACACAGTATGAATATACTTCCCATGATGTAACTCATGAATGTTTTTTATCGCAAAAAAATCTAATGAATGTTTTTCTTTAGAAACCTCGTCGAAGTTTGTAAGTTTGACCTTTTAAAAAAACATATAGGCACTACGTTATGAAACGGCGGGAGAACATCTAAACCATTCGTATCCGGGATTTGAAAATCATAAATATACATACTTATCTCAAAATTATTTTCAAAATACACTTGATTCGATTTTATACTCATATAAAAATAGAAACTAGCTGCCAGGTTACGTCTTGAACACCTTATCAATGTCCATAGCATGACTTATCTGACAACAAGGGAGTTTTTTCTTCTTTTTTTGACGACAAAGGAGTAATATTGGAGAGAAAGGAGCATGAGCTCTCTTGCATCGTTCCCATGTTGTAGACACTTGAGCAGGCTCTACGATAGTAATGCTCCCATTGGATGTTATATGTCCCTCGGCCATTTTGAGCGGATCTGCTATCTCTAGGCGCCGTCTCGATCGGCAAAAAAGCAGACGGATGGGCCGGGGCCAGTGAAAGCGAGCGCATTGGCTTTCCGTTTGACACTCGCGGCAGGGCAGGCAAGAGAGTTGACAGTTACACACTCGGTCCATGTGCGATTGTGCGATGTGGATAGGGATCCGTTTCCATTTTGAACGCTGGTTCCCATTTTTTGGAGGGACCCTCCTTTTGCGCCCGTCTCGGCTTTTGATTTGATTTTCCTTTTGGATCGTTCGCTCCCCGTCTCTTTCAGGGCTGAGCAGTGGCGGGCCGCGTAATTTGAAGTTCAGGTTGCTTGGACTGTATGGAAACAGGAGACTGAACCAATAGCCACGGCGACAGGCCACATATGGCTCAAACTGGCATAATAATTCGTGGACAGCACCAGAGACGCAGGCTAGGCTCTTCTTTGAGGCAAACCCTCGATGAACTCTGCAGAAAATGTCGACCGGTCCACCCAGATTATGGCAGTGTCATTTGGACCTGCAGCCACGAGATCTGTTCACTTCTTCAGAACTCTTGATATCTGATACCAGAAAATTGGTTATGCAACAATGTAGAATTCAGAATATCGCACGTTCTTCACGAACTTGGTTGTGGCTAAATGGATAAGTTTGAGAGGCAGACCATTTGAGCTCAGCAAGCAACGATCAGCCATCAGATAAAGGCACGCTAACTGGTACAGTACGATGTCGTTTTCCCGCACAGCAACGAAAATAAACTACTCGCCTACGTTCACTTTCTTTAATTTAATTAACGAAGCTGGGGCTGGGGCCAAGTTTTTTCTTAACAAAAAGGTAAATAAGAGTACAGTGTTGTGTTTTTCCTGTGGAAAGTGTACATGACAGAGCATGCTCGGTCTCAGGCCGAGACCAACATGCCTTTATTTGATGTGAATAATACAGCACTACTGATGTGAATTACCAGCCGTACAGCACACAGACCTGTACAACTGAGCAGGCACTTCACTTCGAGTCTGAACTTCTTTCACATGGCACAGGCATGTGTTTCTACCGTTCCTACACCGAGTAGTAGCAAAAATTTGTTCCTGGCAGGAGTGGAAGAATGGCAATGGGCAAAAACGGCGGGGCTTTTGTTCAAACGAACGATGAGAGAACAGAAGCAAAGCAGGCAGGACGACGAGGCAGAGAAAGCAAAAGCAGCAGCACGTAGCAAGCCAAGCTTGCTTTGTTTTCAGTTTCAGCCATCAGTCCACGCTTTGTCCTCTGCTTTGTCTCCTCCCTTTGCTCCCTCTGCTCTCCCGCGAATTGACGAATCATGAGTGTGCGTGAGCGTATCGCGCATGGGGCCTATGAATTCTGAACTCCTCATGCCCGCCTGCCTGCCGCCAGGGGCTTTCGAAAACCCATGCTGCATGCACGCAGACAGACATAATTAGCGCCGGGCAGAGTTCAGATGATCATGCCTGTCCCCTGCCCGTGCCGGCGCTGTCTCGCTTTCCATTCTCCGACATTGCCTTCTCTCTAGGATAGGAGCCACTGTAGCTAGCTAGTGCAGTAGTGCAAGTGTGTGTACGGTGTACCCCAAAGCTTAAAGCTTGAGCTCAAGTCCCAGTAGCGGCAACAAGCACTTGCACGCTTTAAGCTCACACACTCTCAGCACAGGCTGACACGAGGAGCTCAAGTCGAAGTTGTAGCTAGCGAGAAGCCAGTCATGGGATGGGGAAGCAGGAAACAGCAACACGGGACGCCGTCACGCGCATCGGAGCAAGGAGGCGAGCGCAAGGGCGGTGGCAAGAGCAAGGCCTTCTCCTTCTCCTTCTCGCCGCTCTCGTGGCTCGCTAAGATAGCCGCCAAGCCCAAGCGCACGCCCGCGTCCACGCACGAGGGCCGCGGACCCGGTGCGAGTGCCGCTGCCGCCGCCCCGCCGTTCAAGTCGGCCCTTCCCGAGCGCGCCAGCCCGGCTAAGGTGGCGATCGCGCCGGCGGGCCGGCTCAGCTCGCCCTCGCCGCGTCGCTCGCCTGCTGTTCTGCGGCGGCTGTTTGTTGGCAACGACAACGCGGAGGCCGTGGCCGCGCGCGTGCGCCATCGCCCTGCCGCCGCCGTCGTCGCCACCGAAGAAGTCGTACCAAGGCGGCTCTCTGTTGGCAACGACAGCGCCGACGCCGTCGCCCCGCGCCGGCACTGCAGACCCCGGCGCCACTGCTCCGTCGGCGGTGACCGTGACCTCCAGGCGCCGCTCGGCAAACACATCCCCTTCTCCCTCGCCGGCTCCCCAGCGCAGCCACGGCCTCCTCCACAGGCGGCAGCAGCTGCGGCACCGTCGGACACGGACGGCGGCGGCGCTCGGCTGAGGCGTCGGCACCGTGGCCGCCGGCACCGCCGCAGCGTCAGCGGCGGCCGGAGATCGTCGTTCTCCGGAAAGGTGACGCTGCGGGTGAAGGTGCGGTCGCCGCGGCGGTCAGCGCCGGAGCTGGAGAGCCTCGCCGTGGTGCGGCGGACGCGGGACCCGCAGAGGGCGTTCCGGGAGTCGATGTCCGAGATGATCGCGAGCAGCGGAGGGACCGACGCCCGGCCGGAGGAGCTGGAGCGGCTGCTGGCGTGCTACCTCGCCCTCAACGCCGACGAGCACCACGACTGCATCGTCAAGGTCTTCTGCCAGGTCTGGTTCGATCACGTCAACCTGCCGCCGCCTCGACGGGGCAGGGACCGGGAGGAACACCCCGGACGGCACGCGAGGCCGTAAATTCTCGGATGCAAGCAGTTGATGTATGTATGTACATTACGTACGTTTTTATGCCGGATTTACCTTAGAATTTCGTAAATCTCTGTCACTCCAAATTTTTCTATATCTAAATAGCTAACCCCACTAACATATTTCTCCCAACATGCAAATATGACACCTCATCAAGCAACATGCATTAGAAAATGCCCCTTAGGGCATGTACAATGGTCGATAAGGTAGTCTTATCTTAAACCTTGCATGTAATTTAGAGATGACAAGAAAACATGTCTACAATGGGTCATCTCTTAGCCTTATCTTCAATAGCTAGTTATTCCTAAAAACGTGGTGAGACATATTGTGCTAAGAGATCATCTGTTGCATTCTCTTAATTAAGAGAAGACAAGCCTTCTCTTATGATTTCTCTCTCCTCCATCTCATCATTTATCCTACGTGGCATCGCTAAGATAGAACCATTGTACATGCCCTTAATAAACATTCAATGAGTAATAGGAAAAGGTTCACCTCAACATGCAAACATGCGTGCTGTCAACCTTAAGTTGTTGTTGTACCTCTTCGAGCTTATGTCTGGTCTTAAAATCATTTTTTTAAAAAGTGAAGTCTTGTGTGTGGGAGGTGATGAGTCTACACTCCGTAAATATGCGGACCTCTTTGGATGCAAAATTGGCCACTTTCATATGAAATACTTAGGGGTGCCTGTGAGCTATTCTTCTTTAGGGAACATTGACTGGGAGTTTGTTGCTATTAGATACCTCATGAGTTGCGATGCCTGGATTGGCAGCTCAGCCTCCTCTGGCGGAAGACTGACTTTGCTCAATTCTTCCATGTCCAGTATAGCTTACTACTATATGTCTATGTTCCTTCTCTCTAAAACATTCATTAAGAGACTGGACAAGTATCGTCGTAAATTTTTTTGGTGTGGTGGCACGGAGAAAAGACGTTACCACCTTGTTAAGTGGTCTCGGGTGTGTCGATCTAAGAGAAAAGGGGGGCTGGGAGTTAAAGACCTCCATAAACAGAACATATCTCTTCTAGCGAAGTGGTGGTGGAAAATTGATACGGGCGAAGGCTTATGGCAAGAAGTGATTAGAGCCAAATATCTTAAAAACTGTTCTGTGGCCACGGTGAAAATCAAGTTCAGTGACTCCCCTATTTGGAAGGCTTTGCTCAAAGTGAAAGAACATTATATGGCTGGTAGGAGAGTGACCATTAGATCTGGTAATGTGGCCATGATTTGGCAGGACCCTGTTGGGGAACACCCACCTCTATGTGAGACGTATCCGGTCCTGTTTAGCATAGCTAATCATCCTGATGATACGATCACTCAATTTCGGGGCAGGGAAAAAGGGGTCATCTTCAGAAAAAGATTGAACCCTGATTTAACTAGTCAGTTTGCTGGTCTTAATAGCATTATTGAGAGCATTGCTCCTTCCGTGGAACCTAATAAAATCAAATGGGTTCTTGGCCCCAAAGAGAAGTATACGACGAAAGCGATGTATTCTTACCTTGAGAGAAACATCTCTGGGTGTGATTATAGATGGATTTGGAAGGCCAGGTTGCCAATCAAAATACAGATCTTTTTGTGGCAATTGTTTCAAGACGCAATTCTAACCAGAGATGTCATGAGACGCAGGAATTGGGCAGGCAATCCTCGCTGCTCATTCTGCGATTGTCGAGAGACCTATCTTCACTTATTCTTCCTATGCCCTGTCGCCAGGACTGTCTGGCGGACAGTAGGGGCGATGCTGGGTACTGACTTATGTCCCAACAACCTGTGCCAGTTCTACTCTTGGTGCTATGCTTTTCTTCCCCAAGGGGAACGCCACTTCACTGTGGGTTTGGCAGCTGTCTGCTGGGCTATTTGGAACCGCAGAAACCAAGTTACCTTTGAGCACAAGAAAATGTCATCTCCTTTCGAGATTGTCTTCACAGCTTGTGTACACTTGAAATACTGGGCGGGTCTATTGAAAGGCTCGGAGCGGGAAGAACTGGAGCACGGCGCACTGCTGCTGAGGGACAACGCCATGAGGATGATGAGGCTGTGCGCATCAGCTCACACTGAGAGAAGCTCGGATTGAAGATTGAACAAGACTGATCGTGGGATTCTGGATCTGGAGTTTGGCGCCTTCTGCTGTGGCGACTTTGTGCCTTTTACCTATGGTCCTTTTGAGTTGGTCGATCTCGACTACTTTGTGTTGGTGTTTCTCTGAACTGTAGTCACTTGCTTAAATGATGTCTCAGGGTTTTCGCCCCACAGTAGGTGTTTCGATTGCGAGCATTTATGGTGGGTTTCCCTGGGATGCTTGAACCCGTTTTTTTCCTTTCCCTTTCGTTTTGTTCTGGAACTCGATCTGTATTTCTGTTATTCAGTTAATGGAAAGGGGATTAACCCGGTTCAAAAAAACATGCAAACATGCGTGACACATTTAATAAATAATTTTTAAAAATACAGTAATCAAGCACAATAAACCATATGTATTTTTAGTTTTAGCTCTCATATTATTTCTCCGAATGTTCTTATTTCCATAAAATCAATATCTTTGAAATATAGTGCAAAATATTCCCGCAGCAACGTGCGGGGCATCATCTAGGTCTAAAAAAAAAGGTTTGCCAGCCTGAAACACTGAGACAATTTACCGAGCCACGATGAAAATATTGTATCAGTGGATGCAAACAAATTCTTACATCCGTTGGAAGCGATTCCCTCTATATTTTTTCCAAAAAGGATCAAATCTATTATAAAAAGGAATCGAACGTACAAAGGATATCAATCATGTCGAATTCGAGAAGGATCAAAACCCGAAAGACAAATTCAAAGAAGTGCCAGCCTCAGCACTGCACCTGCAAGGACTAAAACCCCTAACTAAACTACTAACCAAAGCGGGGGCATCAAGATTCTCCTCCCCGCCACCGGGCACCGAAGTGGCTGGCAGAGGGGAGGTCAATTTACGGTCTCACTAGTGCAGCTTCAAGGGGAGAGTTTGCCCGGGTTGGATGAGTATACTGGGTATTGGACAGAATTAGATGGACGCAAAATTTAGTCATGTGGATTTCTCTCAACATGCAAACATGACACCTCATCAAGCAACATGCATTATAAAATGCCCCTTAAACATTCAATGAGTAATAGGAAAGGTTCACCTCAACATGCAAACATGCGTGACACATTTAATAAATAATTTTAAAAAAATACAGTAATCAAGCACAATAAACCATATGTATTTTTAGTTTTAGCTCTCATATTATTTCTCCGAATGTTCTTATTTCCATAAAATCAATATCTTTGAAATGTAGTGCAAAATATTCCCGCAGCAACGTGCGGGGCATCATCTAGTTCTAAAAACCAGGTTTGCCAGCCTGAAACGCAGAGACAATTTACCGAGCCACGATGAAAATATTGTATCAGTGGATGCAAACAAATTCTTACATCCGCTGGAAGCGATTCCCTCTATATTTTTTCCAAAAAGGATCAAATCTATTATAAAAAGGAATCGAACGTACAAAGGATATCAATCATGTCGAATTCGAGGAGGATCAAAACCCGGAAAACAAATTCAAAGAAGCGCCAGCCCCAGCACTGCACCTGCAAGGACTAAAACCCCTAATTAAACTACTCTCTCCGTTCCTAAATATTTGTCTTTCTAGAGATTTCAACAAGTGACTACATACGAAGCAAAATGAGTGTACCTACATTCTAAAATATGTCTATATACATCTGTATGTGGTAGTCCATTTGAATCTCTAAAAAGACAAATATTTAGAAACGAAGGGAGTACTAACCAAAGCGGGGGCATCAAGATTCTCCTCCCCGCCACCGGGCACCGAAGTGGCTCGCAAAGGGGAGGTCAATTTACGGTCTCACTAGTGAAGCTTCAAGGGGAGAGTTTACCCGGGTTGGATGAGTATATCGGTTATTGGACAGAATTAGATGGACGCAAAATTTAGTCGTGTGGAAGTAAAATATCACGACAATGAAAACACAATGTTGTTACATTGAATAAGCGAACCACTATATAAGAAACAAATTTCTTTGTAGAAACAAATTACAAATCGAAAAGTTTGCTAAGCCTAAGTTTATATTTCTAATAGATCAGTCGATCTGATCTGATGATACGTATAAATAAGTAGTGCCCTCTTTATTATTGATCTTTTTTCCGTGGATTTACACAGAAGTGCCCATCATTTCCATGCCATTCACTTGTAGCAGCAGCACATGTCGTTGGGGGCTCCATTTATAGGCTCACATCTGCCTTTCGCTAACACATAACCGGCATCTCTGCAGTAAATCTGACACTGACTAGGTTTTCCATTCACCGGGTTCTTGCAGTCTCCATCCCAATCCACACAAAACTTGCGACCTCCTCCATCTGCACGCCCAGTATAACATAATCACTTGTATTTGTTTGATTATCCAATAATATTCTAAACGATTGTATAAACCATGCATGAATATGAATATATAGCGAAAAGAATATACCTGTGATCCCGTAGGACGCATCACATGACAAGAAACTGGTGGATATCATCAACAGAAGAGCTGCCAAACACAAAACCCTCGTGTTGTTCTTGAGGAGCGCCATGGGGAGAAGGATTGCGACTCTTTTCCCCTCTTGCAATCTTTCAATGGGTTTGTTGTTCTTTTTCCCTATTATTTCCGTATGCTTCTCGTGCTGTGCTGTTTATATAGACGACTAGACAAGTTTTTGAGGATCATTTATTACCTTTCTATTCCTTATACCGCATTGATTCTCTTGGATTTCCTGAATGAACAGGTATCATATCCTTCCGATGACACACTTTCGTATACCCAAGTATGTCTTGTCAATATATTTTATTTACATTGATTGGTTCCTGGGATTTGATATCTTGAATTTATTTAGCATCCTCATATAAGATAAATGCCATATGTAATCGGGAGAGAGAGAGAGGATCTAGAGAATGAGAGCTACGATCGATAGAGGCTTTGTGCCAAAAAAGGATTGGAAGAGAGAGGGGAGATTGGG